GTCACTACCATTCAGTCCATAGTTTGGACTCGTTACTTACTGAGTTGGTGTACTCACGTTACCTCCTGCACCTTGTGTGCAGATTCAGGCACTTTTGGACCCAGTGGCAGTTGTAGATCGAGGCTTCAGGCTTAGAAGATTATTGAGGTATCTGCACGGCATTCGTAGGCCTTGACTCTCCATCTCTATCTCTAGATGTATTCCAGTTTGTTTCCTTGAACGTTGTAATAGACTATGTCTCATTTAGACGCTCATGTACTCAATGACACCCTGGTTTTGGGCAGTTGTATCTTATTTTGGAATTTCTTATGTTCAAACAGTTTCCTCTAATTGTTCAAAGCTTCCGTTAAATGTTTTCAAACTTATTGTTGTTGTATTGTTATGGTTGAGTTGAGGCTGGCCTAGTTCCACGATAGGCGCCATTACGATGAGTTGAGTTTTGGGTCGTGACGCCTTTTCTAGACTAACTCTAGCCTAGAAAGCTAACAAAAATAAAGTCTCAATAATAACCTACTACAAAACTTCTATGAAAACGGATATATTACAATTCAGAACAAAAGACTCAACCTAAACTCTAAAGAACTTGAGCAGCTTCATCTTCAAGAACCTATTCTTCAGTTGATTGAGTTGGATCTTCAGAAGTACCTTGTTGCTTTGCTTGCTATTGTCATAAGTATTATCACGCTTTCTCGCGATAGCAGTAGTCTTGAATTATGGCAAAAGGTCTTCTTTTATAGGTGTAAGGTTGGCCGATTCAATTAATGCTCCAAAATCTAAAATATTTCGGTTAAGAAAATCCTTTTCCGCTTAGGCCAGGCTTCCTTATTTGACTCTAATTTGCATCCTTCTTGCTTCCCACGAGTATTTTCCGTATACATATATTCCTTTTGTTAAGCGAAGTCCTCCAAAGCGCGTATTTCTTTTTCACGGACAGGATCTTCTAGGAATCCCTACTCGCATTAGAATGTTGGTCTTCCGCGTCTGACTCGGTAACTTTAGCTAGCCTGTTGTAACGTGGTTCTTTTGACGTTCATCATACTCACTTAGGCACATCTTTACAGCAGTCTTGCAATATTGCAGACTAGGCCTGGTTCTTATCATAGTTTATTAAAAATCAAAACACAGTATGTTCTCAGCTCAACATGATGCAACAATATAATCATCATTTTATGTACTTAAGAGTTCCTTTTTTTATTTGCTTAGACTTAGTATAAAAAATATAGAGATCCTCAACCAGCTCAACCTCGATATAGAAAAAGAATCTTTACTATCTTCGTGATTATTATTTAAGCTAGTCCAGTTACAAACTCTTCTAACGTAATCAATTCCCTCTTTCATAATTAACGATTCTGATTTCATAAACTCATCTTTATCTTAATATATTTTCTTGGAATTAGTATTCAAATTAGACAACCATTTCTATTCTACTAACAGCTCCTTGAGGGCTGACGCACAAATGTCATATATCGTTCTTCTTTTTATTCTATCTCAAAATGATGGTCATACTTTTTTATTTAGAAACTATTTAACTCTAAATTTATTATTTTACCCTTAATAAGGTGATTTATAGTTATATAAATTTTATGGCTTGTTTACCCCACAAATTTTTAAAAAATTCTTTATTTTAAGATTCGGTGGCCAGTCAAATCCGCCACATATAAATTGGATCAGAGAAGTGATGAACAAAAAGGGAGCACTATAGTAGTATATTACTGCATAGTAATTGTACAACAGAGAGGGAGCCTCACGACCCCAGGTTTAATAAATAAACGTTCCCTCAAGAAAACTATACTCAACATATATCTAATATAACCAACATATCATGGCCATCTCCTTGGCATTATTCCTGACACCGTGCTGCTCATTAATAACTGATTCTGCAGCAAAAGACATAAAATCAAAGTCATTACAAAGAACAAAAGATCAGCACATTTCCTCAGTCAACAGTCCCACTACCTATTAATATATACAAGTATACAACTAATAAAAAGAAGAGTTCTTATATGAAATCATTTTCAGGGTAACTTTTTCGCTAAAATTCAGTTTCCTTATCTTTTATTTCTATAGAAGTGAACATGCAAATTCTTTATTGGGAAAAGTGCCTAAACTGCCCCTATAATTGGTTAAAAGGTTTACAGATACCCTGCGTCCATTTATCCGTCCAAAAAAGCACACGACGTTAATTATATTAACAAGTTGCCCTCGCGGCAAAAGTTGGGGGCGTTTAATTTAGTGACGTGGGAATTTCTTACTGGGCCACGTGGCAATCTCGGGCTAAAACAAAAAATTGACCTTATTTTCTTATATGTCTCAAAAATACATTAACCCATCCAATAAAATCCCATTTTTAAATTAGAACGACCCGTACTTCACTAAGATATCCATACTCAAGATTATTTTTGGGAAATTGATGTAGGTAAAATCTGATTTATAATTCTGATTCCATCTTCACAACTACTAAAATCACAAATTGAGCACTAACACTTTTTCCTTTAAATCAGAATATTCATGCTTTATAAATGCTTGCAATAATGAGAAGGTTCAAGATCTGAGACACAAATTGATCAGTTTTATGGAGGATTCAAGGGAACGTGGGTGTTCCAAGCTTGCACAGTCTACTGTGCACTGGATAGTTTACCCGGACGAGGAGAAACTAAAGGCGTTAGAAAAGAGAGAAAGCCAGTAGAATCTGTAAATACTAGTGAGTTTGCAAGGATTTTTTTCTGCTTAAAAGAGATTCTAGAAGATTTTATTTTTTAGATACCTATGAGGTACATTATTTACACATCACGCAGTTTGATAGCGCTCCACGAATAAGAAAGCTGATATTTGGCTGCAGAAGCGACGCTCTAGTGGAAGATAAATTCGATCACTTATTAGGTGATGGCCTTTCGAATCTTGTGTAAGAATATCTTTGTGAAATTATGGGTTAATGTATTATTTTATGTCCTGGTTAAAAACCTTGGGTCGGATTAAGTGGGTCGAAATAAGACCCATTTTTTGTTATAGCCGAGATTGCCACGTGGCCCAGTAAGAAACTTTCAAGTCACTAAATTGAACGCCCCCAAATTTTACCGTTAGACGCGGGGGCAATTTTGTTAATATAATTAATGTCGTGTGTTTTTTTTTGGATGGATAGATGGACATAGGGTATCTATAAACCATATAGCAAAGATAGGGGCAGTTTAGGTCATTTTCTGTTCTTTTTTTATTTATTTATAAATGATTTAACTTATAAACATTTATAGCATAACAAACTTTTGTAATGTCAAGTTGCCCATACTTGTAATTAAGAGGTTTACTTAACTTGTAGTAATTGCTTTTAATAAATTGATATTCCAAATATTTTTTTATAGTTTCAGTGCATAAAACTTACGTATCACAATTGATGGTCTTGGAGACGGGGACGTCCATGGCGACACCACACTTAGAAGCAAGAGCCTGAGCAGCATCATCTTTAAGG